GCCCCCAGGCCCCACGCTGACGCCGGACGGTCCCCGCCTCCAAACCCCCCGCCCCGGCCAGACAGTAACTTACCTGTTTGCCGGCAGAATCGCTCCTGCTCGCCCCTACGACTGACTCCTCCGGCTCACCGTCTTCCCTCTGGGAGGAAGGGGAGGGACTTCCTGTTTTTCCGTTGCGCGACTTCCGGCAGTTCCCAGGACGACTGCGTCGTGGACGGGTCGCCGGGCACCGGAACCAAAACGCAGAAGCTCGCAACTGGCTTAGTAAAACTAACGTCGAGTTCCCGATTTTTGCCCCGAGTGGCCAACGGACCCGTGTGCCGCCTCGTTTTCGGTCCATCAGCCCTTGCCGGAAGTTACTCCGAGATGAGACAGGAAGTCCCACCCCTTCCCAAGAGAGGAAAAACGGAAAGCCGAGGTTGTCAATCTAAAGAAGGGGTGACAGTCATCGGGCTCGAGGGCGGGCGGTGTTGGAGTGGGAGGGCCACCAGGGATTTACAGAGTCCCTTTGCGGGTCCCCGCGCCCCGGGCGATCCCGCCCCCTGCTTCTCCCGGCCCTCCTCGCCCCACCCCGCCGCCCGCCCGCCATGAAGAGCCCCGGGGGCCCGGGGAGAGACACGGACGCGCCCCGGCGGTCCGAGAGCCACTGAGGTCTACGCCGGGCCCGCCTGCTGCTCGGCGTTGCTCAGGCCTCCACGGAGAGGACCGAGATCGGTCTGCCGCGCCGGGCGTGGACGCGGCTCCCGATGATAAGGAAAGTCTCCCCAGTGAAACCAAATCGGGATCCTCGGAGTCACAGGCCCACGGAAGCCCCTCGCCCAGCTCCAATGCTAACGGGAGGCAGTAGAAGCTGAAGACGCTTTGGGTGTCTAGACGCACCGCACGGATCGACTTTATAAACGCCAGCGGCAAAGCACAGGGATTGAGAGGGAGGAAGGAAGGCACGACCCGGTCTTAGTATTCACGGCCCACCGGCCCCTTGTGCAGGAAAATCCGCGGACCTCGCGTTTAGAGCCCTTTCTTTTGAAACTCAGATCTTAAATAGGATGACCACGGCCTGAAAAGTGCAATGACAGAGCCACCTTGTGTAGAGACGGACAGCGACGTGGCGTCAGAGTGTGAAGATAGGCTTGCTGAGGAATGTTAATTTCTCATGTAGGCATGGGGAAATCTGTTAAGTAATCAGAATTGTATTTAGAAAGGTAATTTTAAGTGAATGGGATTTTAAAATAATGGCCTGATAATTATGATAGGCTTTCTAACCAAATCATCCCTCGAGGCCAATTTCCACTCAGTTCTATTTAAATCAGAATGTTCACCATAACATAGTGTTTTATAAAGAACTCCTTACCGGCGTTATCTGATTGAATTCTCATTGTAAACCACCTGAATTCTCATGTCATCCACAGTAGGAAATTGTAGTTTAGAAGAGTAGACCCTTCCAAGACCACACAGCTAGTAAAAGTTGAACTCAGCTTTAAGTTCCAGTCAACCTTGTACTCTCACCATGCTGACTCAGTAAACTTACAAGTTGTAGAGAAACGCAGGGAAAATAGTTCTCAGAACAGGTGACCAGCCTGTCAATGTTATATTTATTCCATTAACCAACATTTATTGGGTTTTTATTGAATAATAGATAAGTCAAACTAGACTGCCTTCAAAGAGTTCGCTTGAAATTTACTTAGAATTTACTTGAAAACGTAGTACTTATTAATACAATCTTTAATGTCTATTTCAACATTGTTATTGTATGACAAGGTGATAAATTTCTCAACAGTAACAGTAGCTAGCACAATTCTCCACATGGATCAGGCTTCCTATTGGTCTTTGTGTGATATATCTTGCTACCTTTCTTACCTGGGGGATTTCGTTAACACTTCATCCTTCTTTGAGCAGTGAAATAAAATTGCAAGTTTATTTTTCAGTTCTATCTTCCATTATTTCGCTGAGACAGATCAATTTGACTTCATTTTCCTCGTGTAAAACAAATCATTTAGGGTAAAGTTCCCTTCTTTTGAAATTCTATGAATAGAAGAGGTTCTAAAATTCCTAAATCATACTAATAGTGTCTAATGATATTACTCTCATTAAAAGACTGCTCCATTAGATAACACTTATAATGATGATAGCTATGGTTTATTAAGCACCTACTAGATGTCATGCAGTGCTCTAGAGAAACTCAAGAACATAGGAAAATTTTGATGATGTTTTTCTGTGTCTCAGGAAATTTTATAGGTATACACATACATAAGAAGCCCCAAAATTATGTATAACCTTTATATAATTTGTATTATACTATTTTTATTTTATATTTATATGTGTTAATATTTAGATACGTAAAACCTTGAGGCTTCTTTCAAGATTGCTTCTCCCTGTAGCTTTCTATAACCACAGGACAAAATGTTTTAATGTATTTTTACAAGGTTGCTATAAAGCAAGGGTAATCTGACACTCTAATGCTTGTCTAGCATTTGAAAGGACAGAGGCCCCAGTGGTGGGAGGCCAACTTTTTTGGTCTGAGATGGCAGACTAGCCAAATGGAGGATGTTTATGTGAAACTCGGGGAGCCCATGGTATAGCTTGCTCAAAGGTCTTAAGGTCTTATTCCTTCCATTCGTTAGGTAGAGCTGTTGGCCCCTCCGCCAATGTTAGAGCTCCCACCCTACCACTTTTCTCTGAAACGGAGCTTTCCCACCCATTTTCTTCGAACTTTGCCCTCTGCATTGACCCATGCTTTTTAAAATTGTAGACAAGTTTCCTTAAAGCCATATCCTTACATCTTTAGCTGATGCCTTCCCCACTCCCATCATCTTAGACTTCTCCAAGATGTAATACGCTATAACCACAGGACAAAATGTTTTAATGTATTTTTACAAGGTTGCTATAAAGCAAGGGTAATCTGACACTCTAATGCTTGTCTAGCATTTGAAAGGACAGAGGCCCCAGTGGTGGGAGGCCAACTTTTTTGGTCTGAGATGGCAGACTAGCCAAATGGAGGATGTTTATGTGAAACTCGGGGAGCCCATGGTATAGCTTGCTCAAAGGTCTTAAGGTCTTATTCCTTCCATTCGTTAGGTAGAGCTGTTGGCCCCTCCGCCAATGTTAGAGCTCCCACCCTACCACTTTTCTCTGAAACGGAGCTTTCCCACCCATTTTCTTCGAACTTTGCCCTCTGCATTGACCCATGCTTTTTAAAATTGTAGACAAGTTTCCTTAAAGCCATATCCTTACATCTTTAGCTGATGCCTTCCCCACTCCCATCATCTTAGACTTCTCCAAGATGTAATACGAACAACTTTCTACATCATATTTTTGCATGTAATACTCTGTCTTCATAAATATTTCCACGGAGCTCCTGAACCAGAGTTTGCATCCTTACCAAGGGATGGGGGTGGGACCACCATTGATTTGAAGATTATCCTCAAATCCCTCTCTGCCACAAGATAAGAAGGTCTAGGTTATAGTTCTTTCTTTGCCACAAGTTAACCTAAAGAAAATTGCATGGTTTTGAAACTCCAATATTGTCAGTTCAAGTGTGTGGATTTATTGGGGCATGCTCAGTGTGCATTATGATTTATTGGGGCGTGCTCAGTGTACATTAAGATTTATTGGGGTGTGCTCAGTGTGTATTACTCATGCTGCTTCCCACTCTTCGGGGCTTCCTTTTTGGCAGTGGCCCTGTCCATCGACAATCCCGGCAAAGGAAAAGTAGCCAGTGACTAGATGCTACTTACCTTTGGGCCAGAGGAACTTAATGGCATTTCACAGAAGGATGATGACAACCACACATAATTAATTGGTGGAAGAGATGGTTTAAACCATTAAATTTTCATATTTATCATCATAAAAAAATTAAAGTCTACTTAAGCATTGTGAAGAACTCGAATTTCCTAATACAGATTGATATATCACTGCCTTCACCGTGTTCCATTTTAAACTGCTTGTCTTTAACAACAGTAAATATGATGAAATACAATCATCAGAGGACCAACTCGGCTCTCAGTTATGACAAGACCATTTCTCCATCACCCAAATGTCCCTCATTTCCGATTGGGTGTTTTCACTGGACTGATTGAGGACTAATTTTCTGATTCTAAAGATGAAATTCAGAGCTAGGATCCCTCTGAGTCCCGTTTGACATGGATAGTCTGCATATCTAGACGCCTGGTGAAGGCATAGAGCTCTTAGTGAGCTGTCAGCCTGGCTCAAGCCTCAGGCAACACCAGCCCCGCTTTCCACTGCATCAGTCAGGAAAAAAGGCCTCTCTACTGTTTGTCAGGTTTCCTTTTATTTGCACCACGAAAACAAATGATACCCAAGGATTATTACTGAATCGACTACAGTTGCAGTCTAAGAAAATAGAAAGGAAAAACTCCGCAAAAGTTTTAAACTTCATAAGTAAAACAATTATATTCGAAGAAATCAAGCAATTGATAGAGTTGCATCTTTGCCCACGTATATGTCACTTTTTTCCATTAATGACTAGCAAACACTTTTGCGATAACAGGTTGAAAATTAAAAGGAGCACGTGCAAAAGGAAATACACCAACTTTCATAAACACTAGGCATGATGCTAAAATCTTTAGTGCAGTATCTCCTATAAGTCTTATAACCTCTCTAAATGGGGATATTATTTTCATTTTACAGGTAAGAAAAATGAAGCCCAAAGAAGTGATGTCATGTTGTCTGGTTCTGTCCACGTTGGGTAACGTGGTGACTAGTCCCCTCTCTCTGACGTCCCAAAAGGGTCCTCGTACACACACTGCTCCTTCAGCGCTGGCCTGTGGCCTGGACATAGTTCCACTAAAGAGGCTCATGGGGAGGACGGAGGTGTCTCCATCCTCTTTTTCTCTTGATTACCAATAAAATATGTATCAGCTCTGTCCTTTTTCATTTCCAGCCTTTTTTCTCTCAGACCTTCACACTGGATAATGTCTATTGTTCCGTTCTCTATGTTCCCTAATTTTTTCCTTCTGCCATCTCCAATCTGTTAAAAGTAGTTTTTGGTTTGGTTTGGTTTTTTTTTTTTTTTTTCCCTTATTTCAGTTATTTATCTTTTAGTTCTAACATTTCTATTTGGTTCTGTCTTATAATTTATATTTCTCTGATGGGATTTTCTATTTGTGCACTTATTAAAGGCAAATTTTCCTTCAAGTTTTTGAGCAAAGTTATAAGAGCTGCTTTGACATTTTGTCGGCTACTTCCAACATATATATTACCATAGAGTTAGTCTTCATTAATTTTTTCCTTCTCTTGATTTTGAATCATGTGTTTTTTTAAATGTCTAGTAATTTTTGAATTGTATCCTAGACATTTGAGTAATATAATATAGACATTCTGAATTCAGTTATGTTCCTCTGAGGAGGTTATTAGTTGTTTTTATTGTTTTAACAGACAGTTATTCGGGCTGTTTTTTACCCCCTCAGCCTTAGCCAGGAGGCTTAAATCTGTCTCTCACGTGACTAGTTCAGTGGTCAGGCAGAGGTTTGGGCGGCATTTTCAGAACTCAGTGCTTTCCCTCTGTGACTCTCCTTTCCAGAGCCACCTCCCCTCCTTTGTGCTGACGTAATCACCCTGAACCCTGCCTTCTGGTTCTTCAAGTGGGATTTTAAACAAAGTTTAGATAGCTACCTTTATTTTATTATAATTACTCAATTTGAAGGAAACATTGGTCATTTTTGGTGACTAATCATTTTTGATGACTAATTTACTTCAACAGTGTCCTTTCCAGTTCTAATTTCCTTTAAATTAGCATTTTCTGTCATTACATTCAAATGCCTACCTACAATAACAGTGACAATATGCTATGAACATTTAACCACCCACACTAGAATTTTAAGTCTAAGCTCTTTTGAATGCTGTTTTGGTGAATATCAATGTGGGAGGTGAAATGATTTAAGACTTCATATTTTCTGTTATCGTCAAAGGCATAATTTCTCTGACATCTTTTTCATTCTGAATAAAAAATTACACTAGGCGATGTTTTTAAATAAAATTTTTCCACGTAATGGCAACTTTTTTCTCTTTGATCTACTCAAATTTTAAAAGCTCAGAAGCATTTATTTACTCACCATAACTGCGAAGAAATTATAGTCATTATTTTATACCTATCATCCATTCTCTTCAGCATCATGCTGGGGAAAAAAAAAAGAAACATCACTTAGTTTCAGAAAATCTCCTGTATTTCTGTTTTTGGACGTCGTCAATTGACTAAGCCTTTGGATAGCTGAGCAGAGTGTAGCATATACCCAGCCAACCGAGCCTCTGCCTCCCAGAGCTTGCATCCCAAAGAGGAAAGTTCTTTCCAATACAGTGAGGAGGAAGAGTATCTTTCTTATGTGTTATATAATCCACAAAACAGAATGCAGATGTTAGAGTTGGTCAGTGGAGGAACAGAAGGAATACGGACAAGTAGTCGGCTTTGGTTTAAATTTTTTTGCTTGTCACATAGGCAGTGGTATTATAGCTAACATAACTAGGGTAGCTGTAACCATAGGCACAGCATCACAGAAACGAGTATCTTATTTCATCTGATATAATCAAAGACCTCAAATCATTATTTAATTCTTTAGCTATTAGATGTTCAATTAATATTCGGACTTGAAACTAACACACAGGCCGAGGGCGGGGTGCCCTGCGCTGAGCGCGTGGAGCGGGAGGAGGACAGGCTCGGTCCCTGCGTCCGGGGCCCACACCGTCCTCGAGCCGCAAGGGCAGGCGACGCGTGTCGCTCACGGGGCACGCGCATAAGGCTTCTAGACCGGTTCACTGTTGTACGGCCTGAAGCCAAAAACACCCCTGTCCTCAGTGTTTTCCATAGGAGCATCTACCGAACCCGATCGACAGTCTTAACTCCTAAACCTGATACGTTACCCTCCTCGGTCACAACGAAGTCCCCTCCTGGTCATGGTGTCCCAGCACACCCCCAGTAAGGCCACCGGGCGATCATCTTTATCCATGTGCAAATATCTCTTTAAAAAAAATTTTAAGCAAATATTTAAATTTCCCTACTCTCAACTTCTCAGTGTTCTTCAAGCTGATTAGTCGGCCTCCCTGTAGGTTTACCGCTCTGAGCGCCCCCACATGGAAGATGGTCCCCTCCCGGCTCCCACGTCGCAGCAGGACCCGGAGAGCTAGGTGGCTGGGGGCCTGGGAGAAAACCCGGAGGCCCCTACGAGAGCTGGGGTGACTGGGGGAGGCAGGAAGACACACGCTGTGGACTCAGGCATCCCAGGGGTAGAACGTCCCAGATTGGACGACCTCATTCATTCTCCTTGCTTGCCTGGTGGCAGCTGAATCACTAACCAAGACACTGCAGGTCTCAAGGTAGTGACGATCAGCAAGTACATCTTACTATTCAGTGACTCAGTCAAACTGATGTCACTTTGCTCAGAAGTGGTCACAATATACTTTACGACCAGCTTTTGTTAATTGACTAATCTGAACACCTTTTAAAAATATAAATTGGCATCATAAACCTCTAGCACAGTCAGTTCTTGGGAACTCTGCCAAATATGTCAGGCAGGTCTCACAAAACCCAAAATGTCACAAGATTCAACGTAACCCGACAAGCAGGAACCAAGCTTAATGGCAAAGAATATCAAGCACCTGCCAACTCTCCGCCAGCAGGGCTTGTCACTCTCTAGCAGCAGGGAGCAGACCCCCTTCGTGCCGCCCCTACTCGGCTGAGGACTCGTGGGGGTCCTCTTTCTGCGACGAGAGTCGGGGTAAACTGCATCGCCAGCCCCACTGCCCAGCCATTTCAGATGTGGTGCAGCGAGGTTTAACACGGACATTTCCAGACCACACGGCTTCGAAGACACGATGTGTTATACTTTGTTTTTATTTGGAATCATAAGAGAAACATTTTTAATAAACTCTTAAATTCTTCTCCATTAATGTGATTTAGCTAATGCATTTATAAAGATTGAATTGATTTGTTTACATACACTCAACTTAGAAAAATTACATTCTTGTTTGTTTATTTACACCATCGAATCCAATCAAGGCAAACAAGGTGGTTAACTAAAATGATTAACGAATGTGGCGCCAGCTGATGGCTTTAAATTTAGAATGTGTTCCCGATGTCAGGGTTGATTAGTTCTCTATCTAACACTGATGCTATTAAAAGCTTTGAGCAATTTAGATGCCATCATTGAGTAAAATTCCAGTGGGCTGAGCGAAATTCCATCAGGATTGATTCTGCCCTGGTGAATTTACATGGGCGCAGATGTTGGGGGGAGAGAGAGAGAGAGAGAGAGAGAGAGATTTGAATCCCTGCCACACTGGATCTAATGACATTGCTTCGAGAGAGAGAGAGAGAGGGAGGGAGGGAGGGAGAGCGCGCCTTCGCTCACAGGGAGGAAGGAAGGACAGGAAGCGGGAGCGGGGGAGGTCGGTGGGCGTTTATCTCTGCAGAGCTAAAGAGGCCTGGAGTAAGAAAGTCCTCCGTCTTCGTAGCGGCGGAGGTCGGTGGGCGTTTATCACTGCAGAGCTAAAGAGGCTTGGAATAAGAACGTCCTCGTCTTCGCACAAGCAATCCCCTGGTGGCACGGGGCTGTGAATATGGACCATTTCCGTTTCGGGATTTTTCAGAAGCAGGAAAAATAAATGAAGGGGAAGCAAGAGGTTAACGTGGCGTCATGCCCCGCTCAAGGTGAGCCCACGGGGCGAGCATGGAGATCTGTGGAGGGGCCCAGCATTTTTGTTAGTAAGATTCGAGGAAGACGTGGGGAAAGCAGGGGTGATGTGAGCACGGGCAGTCGTGGGAGGGAGTGATTGATTACGTGTCCCGAGCGCCTCCGGACCCAGAAAGCAAGCTAGAGCGACTACGCCAATCAGATTGCCAGGGGACAGGCTAATTGAGGAATTGTCCTTGTGCCCGAAGGACAGAATAAGTGCGGTCGGGGGCTACTGCAGCAGAGCGTGGGGTCATCAAGGTGTTGAAGGTGGCAGTGACTTTAGAAGCCGTTTCAATTGGCTGTACCTTTAAAGTATCTTATAACCAGTCCAAATGTCCGAAGATATTTTAAATGGGAGGGAAAACATTGTATCCTGGACCAAACTTCTCTGGCCATTTAGATTCAATCCCTGTGCAGGGGCATGGGAGGGGGTCTGTCAGCGGGTCAGACTAAGCTGGAAGGGTCTGACCATTATTGGTGCAGCTTAGCCATCTCTAGGAAAAAGGCAGCGAATAATTTGGATCCCTCTATGTAATTCCACCTAACAAAAGAAGTGAAAAGAAACACAGTTATTTCTACATAAGTGATGGAGGAAAACTCGCCTACTATTTAAACAGGAAGGTTCGATGACATGAATGCAGTCTACAGTATGTGGCATGTAGGTGCGGAGTCGCTGGGGTTTGGGCAGTGGGGGCTCAGCCCCCAGGGAAACCCCTACCTGTTGATCTTCTCGTTCTGAGAGTGCTCGCCGTCATCCACGGCGCCCAGCGGGAGCATCAGCACACTCTTCTGGATGACGTCCTGGAATATCTTGGCAATCGGTATGGTCGATCCATCCCGGATCATATCTGGCTCTGTTCCAAACACTGAAACACGGAAGAGAAGGCGTCTGAATGGGACGATGCCAGGACAGCCCCAGCAATCACCACGACATGCGGCGCCTGGGGAAGCACGCGTCTTGCTATCATGCAGCTGATACTCGAAAATCGTCGACAGAGTCAAGAAAGCTGTGATTGCCTTTTAAAAAATATTTTTAAGCAAAATTTTTATTTTGAACTAATTTCAGACTTATAGAAAACTTGCAAAAATAGTACAGAGTTCCCACGTACCCTTGACTCCTCCTTCCCTAATGGTAACATCTTATATAATGCTGGCATAATTATCAAGAATAGGAAGTTAAAAATGGAATAATATTGTTAACTCAGCTCAGGCTTTCTTTGAACTTCATGATTCTTTCCCGTTTTTCTCTGCCGTGATCCAGTCCAGGCTCCCACACTGTATTTTGTCGTTGCTTCTTAGTCTCCTCTCGTCTGTGACAGCTTCTCGGTCTTACCTTTCACATCCTTGACCCTCTTGAAGGGTACCCATCAGTTGTTAAGTGAAATGTCTCTCAGTTTGGGTCTGTCTGATGCTTTTTCATAATTGGAAGAGGTCATGCACTTTTGGCAAAGTACCACAAGATACATTAGGAAAGTGAGACTTTGTGTTTTTTTGTATTTTTGTTTTTGTTTTCATTTTTGATATTTTGTAACCAATATGTAAATACATAGCTATAGTCAACTATCCCCCGAATGTCTCCATGTTTCTATTCAACTTTCAATATACCCCATGAGATAGTTTAACTGATATCCTAGGGTCTAGACGGAGGTGAGTTGAAACCTTCTAGGCTAGAGAAAAAGTTGTCAGTGATAGATAGAGTGGGAATGAAAAATACAGACAGAGAAGAGAAGGCGCCACATAGTATCCACAAAGAAGGTGTCATGTGACTAAAGACGGTGCACTCTGTGAGCTGAAGTGGTTTAGCACACAAACAGACCAAAGGGGCCTTAGGCGTTCCTCCAAGAGTATTGCAGGTCTTTATCCTTGAACTTGATATTTCAGCCACACGTCTCCCTTCCGCTGCCATTACATTTACCCGTCTAACTTCCCTCCCTCTTTCCTTCATTCCCAAACTTTACTGGTAGAATACTGCCCTAACTGGGAGGAAGTAAGCTCCAAGCCCTGGGCTTGTCCTCTGTCTCCTGTCTGAGTCCCCTGAGGGTTACTGCCCCCGGCAGGTCTGGGCCAGCTCTGCGTTATTAGCGGTGTGGCGGACGACCTCGACGACCTCGACGACCTCATCTGTAATGCAGCAGCCCCACCCTTACCTACGGTCTCACTTTCCGTCCTTTCGGTTACCCACAGGCAACCACGGTCTGAAAATATTAAGTGGAAAATTCCAGAAATAAACAACGCCTATGTCATTCACCTCACTCCATCTCGTCACGTAGGCATTTTAGCATTCCTCTCGTCACAAGAAGCAGGGTGCGCACGGTACAGGCCGTTTTGAGGGAGAGAGAGGCCACGTTCCTGAGAGTGTGCATAAAGAGCCTTTCCCCGTCTACACTAGGTACGACAGCCCGTCTAAGAGTCCACACCGCAGTTTTAAATGTGTCTGCTCCATCCACCGCCCCGCCCCGGGCACCACCCCTTGGATCCAAGGAAACTGGCAAGTCGAACCCATTAGAGTCCCACCTGTTTTGATGGCTCTTTTCGCCGCACGATACTGATGCTCTTTAACGTCTGCGACCCATGGGTGCAGTCCTAGTGTCCTTGAAATGGCCATCTGGTTGGAAGAATTTCTTTTGGAGAATATCTGCTGGAGATGCTGCTTTACCTAAAAGGCGACGTTTTCAAATTGTAAGAGAAAACTTGAGTTACTCTCTCAGATGATGATACGTAGTCGTCTGTCCTCAAGATACACGGAGAGCCCAGCCCAACACCCCCAGCACTGTGATTTGACCTTGGTTCCAACAAGAGGGCTGACAGGAGGGAGCGGGTCTGCGGGACTGACAGCTTCCCTCAGGGGGCGAGCCCCTGATCTCACTCCCCTGCGGCCCCTAGACCCTCCAGCCCCCGTCCTGCCCCCGACCGCTACCGTTTGTTTATTATGAATTTCGTCAATTATGACATTGAATGACATTACAGATAACATGAGTAGAATGAATATTATGAATCCTCGGTGACTGTGACACATAATACAACTTCTCGATTTGACTCTCTCTTTTTGGACTAGGAGTACCTTAGTGGCTATTTTGGGAACATTAAGCATTTAGAAACTTATGAAAATTGGGGGCGATTCCACCCCGAGCTGTGGGAGCCTCGCTGTCAGCATGCTTCTCTTTTCTCCGTGGCTAAGTTTCTTCCGTTCGTTCCTTCAGCAAGCAAGCATTTACTGAACCCCTGTCATGTGGCAAGAACTGTTCCAGGGGCTGGGGCTATTGCTGTGAGCACGGCGGACAAGGTCCTGCGTGTCTGAGAGGGACAATACTCCCTGTGAGGGAGGGGCAGGGGAGGGCAGAGAGGGCGAGTGGGGGGGCGGGAGGGGATTTTAGAACGTAATCAGCACTTAGAAGACAGTAAAAGAGGACGATGGGTTGCTGAGGGTTGGGATGAGATGTTTCTTGAGCTCATTCACTCAGTCGACCTTCTGCTAAACCCGAGGCACACTGATGAGAGGTGGATGATTTAGACACATAACTCCTTCCAGACGACGTTTTCATTAAAATGTCTGCTATCCGAGTATTCGTTTCACACATCTGGACAAATTAATGATTGGGGTTTGAGATTTTCCGGCTCAGTCCAACCGTAGGAAGTCAACTCCGTCTGTGTACCAAGCCGATCTTGCCTTTACGTCTACCATTTTCTTTCTTTAAATTTCCCATCACTCCAACTCCAAATGGTGATCTACCTGAGATATAATTGAGGGAAGAGATTTCTACCGGTCAAAAATTATGTTGGTTTTTTGACGTTTGTTCTAGTCCCTTTTGTACTGGGGGGAAAAATGGTACTTCGATGCCAACAACTGAATTGCTCGCTAAACTGTGTCATGTGGCTCTCAGGAATGGCGCTGCTAGGCAGAAGAACAATGCACGTTTCTTACCTGTTTTTCCACCACAGGTATGTTCATGTGAGGGACTAGACGGATGGAAAATTTTCCTATAACTCGGCCAGGGATGACTGTTTTAGCTCCAGGCTCGTCAAACGCGCCCTCGATCCCGTGAATGGAAAGGGAGGGGTACCTCCACAGGTGCATTAGAATTTCCTCCTGAATTAAAACAAAACTCTGTTGTCATATACAAGAATGTTCAATTAAAACCCAGTTACAATGGGTTGTTTGTATCGCCACTCCCCGTACATCTGCAGCAGCGTGCATGACAAGTTAATTATCACCTTACTTAGATGTGTCTGGACTAACAAGTGGACTTTCCCTCAGGACGTGGGGTCCTGTGAAGCAGTCACCTGCCCAAGCCGCTCCCATGGACCAGGGTCCCTGGTCGCCCGAGCTCTGTCTGCAGTTGACAGATGACAAAGGGGCCCGTTCAGAAATTTAAGTCCAGCGGTAAACTTCCGTCCCCAGTCATTGCAGTGACAACCTGTGCACTAAATGCATTCTGTTTTTCAGAAGGTGTCAAAGGATGTTACAGAGGTTTGAGCCACTTTTCTTCCTTGTGGACACTGCAGAGCTAGCCCGAGGGAGGAGACAGACGTCAGAATAATAAGCGCTACCGCTCTGGTCGGCATGATGCTCCCATTCTGGCCGGTCCCCGAGGAACCAGCCACAGCTCGCAGACACCACAACAGGTACAGAAAAGGAGTAAAGGAGAGGAAGAAAAACATCTCGACTCGCCTCGAATGAAAGCGCGCGGCTCCGGGGTTACTACTACACGGGAGCAGCGATGCAGCCACTTACAGAGCGGCCCCTGAGGGTCTTGGTTCTATCGAGAAGAATGAGCAATTAGGGGTCTGGGAGCTGGGATCATTGCAGACTGTTCATCTGTAAACAGACAGGAAGCCCGGCTCCGTGGCACGGGATGAGTCTGACACGTCGATTTGGAGAAGCAGGGCTGGGAACGAGCACCTGCCTGGCACAGCCCCAGGAAGCGGGGGGAGAGGCCCTGGAGGTGAGCTCAGCCTCCGAGTTAACCACGGCTTTCGGCCCCGAGACACGCAGAGCCGCAGCACGGGCGACGGAGTGCCCTCCTGCCTCTCAGATACCCACCGACTGCGGCCATACCTTGGTGTCAAACAGAAACTTCTCGACCCGGCTGCTGCTCCGGTACTCTTCCAGGTCCAGGTCGATGGCTTCGTACGCCTCTCTCTCCTTGTCTGTCACAGGGGCCACGTGGTCATAGATCCCCGGAACCAGAATGCGACCAGACGCGTCCACGAGGCTACCTGCACGACACATACGGGAAGCCAGGCCGGGCAGGCGTCACGAGCGTGCTGAGGGGCTGGCCCTGGAGCAGGCCCTGGGTGACCCTCTCGGGGTCGCAGCAGGCCTGGTGACCGGCTCCGGTCCCCCTGGCAGAGCCACCGGCGGCAGTTCACTTCCTAGAGGTAATGGTCGTGGGAAGGAGCCGGTCACCAGGCGGACATGGGCTGCGTCCAACCTGACTTAATGTCCGCCTTGGCAGCGAAGGGGTGAAAACCCGGAGCTGCAGACAAGTAGTCTGGCTGTGACCTACCTGAGTCACACTCAGACGCTCCCTTTAGGCGGTAAGTAGGGCTCTCGGTCTGAGTTTATCTTATCCCGAGTTAAAAAGTAACGTGTTCCTTATGAAAAGCTCTACATACGTATGTGCATATACACACATACAGGCCTGAGAAACGGAAAACCATCGTTCCTTATCAACTCCTATCCCCCTACACCCCGTAATAATATAATAAATACTCATTTTTGATCAAAAGCATATTATCTTTGGGGTCTAGTCTGTGCCATATACATCGTGACCACGGGAGCCTCCGTAGTGATAAGCAGGTGGACTAGTCTGTTCTTTGTGAAAGACTTTTGGGATTAGTAAGAATGGGGGATAGAAATCATCAAAGAACATCTATAAAAGAAGCAGATTTGGGATTTAGTAAGCACTGCTCGGTAGCTTGAGAAAGCACTTAACAAAGATGCAGCGCAACCAGCAAGTAGACTGACGTAAATGATGAAATCTGTCTCCAGGGGGCAAAATTCCCCCTCGATCCATCTGGGGGCTTTTGATCCAGTGAAGACACCTCATAAACATATGCTCCACATTCCGAATGTGGCTATAACTTGACAACGCCGGAAGATTAGCGTGGAGTGCTAATGCATCTTCCCATTAAAGTCGACAGCTACGAAGCACGGGTAAAGAAATAGCCGTGGGCCGACACGCAGCGCCATCCTTGCCCACAAGAAGAGCAGTTTGGGGACATACCCTACAGGGGGCACTGAGTGATTCTATTGGTGGTGGGCTCAGGTTTCATTCTGACCTCGATCATGGTGACGGGGTAGACTGCGCGCCGCACCGAGAGCCAGCCCCGGTCACTCGGTGACCAGCTGGCTTTTCGACTCGAATTACTCAGGGGTTTGTATCATTTATCCAGTATGTGATCTACTTTATTGGGCTAAATGAGGGAACTCCCATAACTCAGGACTGCGGGGGCTGGTGCTGCACCCCTAGTCCACTCTGCGGTCCCCAGAGTACAGTTATAGCAGCCCGGGTGAAGTCCCAGGAGACCAGCGGAGGGGCCACCACAGGATGCGGGCGAGAACCAGAACCTTGCTCTCCTCCTGCTGTCTCCCCTTCAGAGTGGCCGCCTGGCCCCAACCCTCAGGGCTCCTCCTCCTAAGATCGTCTCCAAGCGCTGGGAAGCTCGTTACGGGTCACTGCCATCCCTGTAGATTTGTAGGGTGTTTTTTTGTGGGGGGGGGGGCTCTACACAGAGCCAAGCCACCTGTTGGTCCTCTCCTGTGGGGTCACACTTGTTAGCTAGCCTTGCGTGGTCAGAGACAGTGCCCTCACAGACGGAAGGTGGGGTCTTACACATTGTCACATCTCCATGTTCATCCAATGCCTGGAACATAGCAGGTGTCCAACAACCAGGTGCGATGCACCGGTGCTCACAGAGCCTTCAGCCCTACGTCCTGCATTTGTACGAAGCAGATGAAAACCACAGTGGGTACAACCCAGAATCACCTTGTCATGGATTCATTATCTGATTCGTTTCATAACTAAAGAAAGTGCTTTTCATTCCATTCATGATTCTGATCTGACTTTTCCTAGCAGAGTGATTTAAATTTGTGGGGCTACACAGAATGTTATGCCTGGGTGAAACCACAGTCTAGAAAGATGCAGGCAGCAGCCACACTTGGGGTAAATCGAAATGCACTGTAAAGGTGTGAAGATGCCATTCCTAGGGACGAGAAAATTAGTTCTGATAAAGTAGAAATTGACCTTTTTTCAAAAAAAAAAAAAAAATCAGTTGCATGCTATCTGAATTCTTCTGGAAACAAGTGAAATACTTTAAAGGAAAAAGGCTTGTTGTAGTCTGTCTGAAATTGTCAAGCATGGGAAATACTGTCCAAGAGTTATACTTTATGAAAACTAGAAGGCCATAGGAGAATAGAGATGATAGACAGACTGGGTGTATGATAGATAAGTAGACAGATGATTGAATAGACAGATGACAGGATAGGTAGACAAAAAAGACGGATGATTGATAGAATAGGTTGATGATAGATGACACAATAGATAGATGATAGAGGTGACAGATAGGTGGACAGATGACAGATGATAGGCAGATTCCATTCTTTACTCTGGGGAATAAAGGAACAGGAAGCTCTACCACTAAGATGACGCTGAAGTCCCTGACGTGACCTCCCAGCCGCTGGGCCAGGTGGGCCGACCGTGCTCTGTCTGAGGCTGCCAAGGCCAAGCGGATGCAGGCGAGAAGGGCCGAGGCAGAGTGTGTTGACACGGAAACAGGGGAGACTCCTGGTGAATGATTTTTTTGGGCATGCTTTACGGCAGTTTGTCTGCCCCCAAAGGACACGTTGGAAAATTTGTATAAAGGTGCCCTTTGTGCCACGTGAGACAGATATTATGGTGTCTAAAGCTTATGTAGCCTGAGAACCTTTTTTTTTTAAAAAAAAACACCAAATTATGAGTCCTGCCGGGACTGTGGGAGGGCTCCCGCAGGAAGGGGGGGCTGCCTGAAGAGGAAGCTCCCTTCGGTTCCTGGGGACCTGCCCCAGCTGCGGGGCAGCCCCGACACAGGCGAGAGCCACAGGTGACAGGACGCAGGCAGACGGGCTCCCTGGACACACACACACACACACACACACACACACACACACACACACACCCCGCTTCTGCTTGCACACACCAGGCACTCTCCAGGAAGTCAGGAGCAGGGGTGACAAGCAAGCTCGTTGGAGTCTCTGTGCCACCTGGGGCCACAGCAACCTGCTGAAAGGAAGCCGCGTGGCATTGGCATATCTGGCACATGCTCTGAATGCTTCTCCAGAAGGCTCTCGGTGCTATGCTGTTGTCCCTGAGTCTGGCCAGATGTGTCACAGAATCCAGCAAAAGGAAAGGGGGCAAATTCAGAAGAGTTTTGGTTCACAAAAAGGAATAATGTGGACTTAATCAGCCTAAGGCCCATCTAGCCAAGGGCAGGGGAGGCTCGGAACGTGTTTTTAATTCTACTAGGACCTTATTCAGTGCTGGCTTGGAAACCAAGGGAGGAGAGACACACTGAGTCGACTAAAACTGTATCTGAGCAGATTCCCTGATGTCTGAGAAGTGAGATGAAGTAAGACATTACCAAGAAGAGCGACCAGATCCGCCATCGGCTCATTGAGGATGCCGCCAAAGGTTCCCGAGTGAAAATCTTGATCTCTGCATTTCACCTGCAAGACAGGTAAGGAGGAGACAGGTGCTCGCCGCTGATGTTGCTTCAACGATAGCTCTCGGGTCGTGGTAAACACGCCTGAGAGACGTCCTTCAGGACGCGGTGGCGGGGGCTGGAGGGGAGCGGACACGCCTCCTCACGCTTTCCAGCCAAGGGACCTGACACGTCCACGCCTCCCACGTCTGCATCCCCCACTGTGTCCTGACTCCCTCGAATCTGACGTCGGCGCCCACTGATTCCACAAACACGGCTCTCTCCAAGATCGCCAGATCCCTGACGGTCTGCAGTCATCTTGCTCCTGGATCCACCCCATCTGTCGCTCACCTTCCTCCTAGAAAGGTTCTCCTCCCGTGGTTTCTGAGAAACTCGCTTCTCTCCTCCCTCTCTGGCCTGCAGGACAGGTCTGTGTACGTCTCCTCTGACAGCTGATTCTGTCTCCCACCTGACAGCAAAATCTGGGTGCATCCTCCCTCCACACGCGGAGCGCTGGGCACTAACGCCCTGGACTTCATCGACAACCTCCACGCTCTTAAACGTCACCCCCGGCGGTCTGCCTGCTGCCTGCTCGCTGGGCTGCATGTTTTGATCGCTTATGGTGCATGACGCTTTGGTGCGCTCCCACGTTCTGAAATTCGGGTCTCGAAGTTAACTCAACATCTTCTCCTACGATGACCTCCTGCAGGCGTGCCCGTTTCCAGAACAAGGGAAGTCCCAGGCCTGTAAATCTGCCATCTTCAAGTGAGCTTGGATTTCTCCTACACACGCCATGCCCAAGCTGTTACCAAGGTCTGAGGAGATTTTTTCAATTGTCCCTCCGATTCATCACCCCCTGCCCCCCGCAATCTTTCCCCGCGGCTGCCAGATGAACCTTCTGTTCAGTTGCTTTAGCTTAAGGCCTTCATTTTATTAGCAGTAACACTAACGAAGGACTTAGGAGTTTGCAGACCCCCCCCACCGAAGCCACGAGGTGCCCTACCCCACCCCTGGTCACGCCTCCTCCCCTCCCGGCTGTCTGGTCACCATCCCGCACTCCACTTGCTCTTGGCCTCATCAAGACGGCCAGTCCCGGAACGATCCGAGGTGTCCCCACCTGCTGGCCCCCTCTCCCCCACCCCGTTCGACCTGAATGTCATCGTTTATCACTTTGGCCTCTCTGTGGTCAACGTCTTCCTCCATCACACCATCTGGCATAATGGCGATGCTGGACCAACCCTGCCCACTTAGGCCGTCTCCATCCCTGGCTGCTGAGCACGGCCGAACAAAGTCATCCACCCGCATGGCCAGGTGACTCTGCACCCCTAACCCTGCCTGACACCTCTTCTTCACGCTCTAGTCCATTCTCTCACCATCACTTACTCAGCCTCCGTCCTACGCAGAAAAAACAGAGGCCAGCTACAGGGGCACAGCGGTCACCTCTCTGACCGTGTCTGGCACCCGCCACCACCCTGCGCCCTCGTGGAAGAGGCGAATTCCTTCACTGGGCTCAGGATCCCACCCCCAACCCCTCGGTGCCTGTTCTCACCCTCCCCCCAGCTTTCCTACTGCCCCTCGAGGTGCCCTGACCCCACCCTCCCTCAGCCGCTATCCAGCCTCGTCCTTCCCACCTCCACGGTGCCTGAGTGAGGTTTCTACGGGGACCGTGGCTGCTCCCCGCCCGCTCTCCCACCCAGGTCACCTCTCTAAGCATCCATGTCCCCTGGCCGTAAACTCCTCGCGAGCAGGGGCGGCACCCCCGGCACGCAGCACCACCCCGTGTGGCAAACACCGACTCACGCTGGCGCTCAGGAACACACGGACGCGAGCGCGTCATCCTGTCTGCCCACCGGGCCTCGCTGCGGGGGGGGTGGGGTGGACAGGGCACGTGACATCGGCGGGCGCATTGTCACATGAGGGGACGAGCGAGCGGCTAAGGAGCCTCTGCTCTCCCGGGGAGGGGCGCTCTGAAGCTGCCCTGTGTGCTGCATCACAGGCCGTCCCACTGGCAGACAAGGACAAGGAGCCGGACTGGACTGCACGCCAGACCCGCCCGAACGAGGCCCTGGGGCGGGATCGCTGTGCGTTCTGCTCTTCGTGGGCGGGGACGAGGCCCTGAGGTCAAGGGCCCTGCACGGGGCCGCGTGTGCGTCCATGAGCCAAGTCAGACGCGGGCCTGGGCAGCATGGTGCCCTCTTCTTGCTGCCCAGGCGCCATCGAGCGGGTCCTGTCACCCAAGAGGCAGTGTCCTCACCCCCAGGGGCTGCTGTCCTCGCAACCAGACCCCACGGCTGCAGGTCCTAAACTTCTGGCCTGTGGGTCACAACCCCTCTGAATCCTCCTCCCAGAAAAAGGCATGAGGCACATCCGCTCACAGTGCGGGAGGCGGCTTGCGCCCCCACCCCAGGGCCAAGAGCTCTGCAGTCCCCCGGGCCGCACGTCCAGCACCAGGGCGGACCCGGGCTCTCGGGAGAGCTTGCTCCCTTCCGCTCGGACCCCAGGACGCTTCCTCCCTGCAGACCCCCAGGTTTGCCGGTACCTCCACGGTGAAGTAGCTGTTCCCGCGTGTCCCATATATGAGGGCCGGCTTCCTCGGGCTGATCCACAGATTGTCCGAGATGACGATGTAGTCCACGCTGGAGAAGAACCGGTCCTTTTCCCTTCGGACGAGCTCCTCCAGGGCGGGAGAGCCCGCTTCCTCCATCCCTTCAACAATGAACTTGACATTCACGGGCATGTCCTGGGGGGAGCAAGTTAACGGAACAAACCATTGTGTCTGGAGGTCACGCCACTTGCCCACCCACCTTTTACCACCCAGGGTCGGTGTGCATTTCACATCAATACGTCAGGCTGTGACATGTGTTCAGCGTGTGGATTATCCGCGTTCCCACCAGCTCTGTGCAGCTACGGCGAAGGAGCTTTAACTGAGATGGCGAAGGAGGATTCGAGGTATGTGCAGCATGACCCACCGATTTAACGCTGACAAAGGGCTTGGGGAAGGAATTCGACACCCGCACTACAGAGCGCTGCTGGGCTGCCAGGGAGAGGCACGTCTGCCTGCCCCCCAAAAGGGATTTTTCAAGAAAGGTTACTCAATTACAACCTCTTTTCTGTCCTTGTAATTCCCAGCATGATAAATGAGAACTCTTTCCTTTGAAAGACTGTCTAATGTTTAAGCCCCAGGATAATTTTTATTTCAAGTATCTGTTATTTTTCAGCTACAGGTTCAATCTGCCTTTTAACTTATTCAAAGACTTTGATCGTGCAGCTACATGGAGCTCGAGCTTTTCTCTAGTTAACATAAGGGCACAAAGTAGCCCCTTTAAATTTTTACAATGCACCTTTCCCCCCATTCGGTTTTGATCTCATTGTATCTCTGTAATTTATAACTTCATCTCTCTGGGAGTCACATGAAGAGGAGAGGTTGAAGTCACACGCAGAAGACACACGCAGGGGACTCTAAAAGCGATCATACGCAGACAAACAACAGCGCAAATATTCTACTCGGTTCTAATGAGCAGGACCGACCAGCCAAAGGTCAGCGAAGGTGGGACGAGGGAAGGGTTAGGGATTCGAAAACGTGGCCTTTGGTCAGTCACTTGGTTAAGGGCACATTGGGCTAAGGGTTTGTTCAAACGTATCACTTGCATACATTTCTATGCGTCTTAGGAAGCCGAGCTAAAATTCTGAAATCTCAATATGTGACAGCTCTTTATTAACATTTAACTAGCAAATGAGTGCTGAGAAGCAGCCGGAAAGCCTAAGGATGTTCTGGCAAAGCGTGATTAATAAAAAACAAGCCAAGGGCTGCTGAGTGTGGGAGGGCACACCGGCAGCCAGGCCCGGCTTTTGGTTTCGGCTCTGTCCCTTGGCACCCAAGGGACCTGGGAGAAGCCATTCCACTGCTGGGCAGCTCACCTCTCCATCTGTCCAGCGTGGGCACCGGTTCCCGCTCCGCCTCGCGAGGAGACAGCCCCGTGAGGTGGTGTGCGTTTGGTGATCTGCACGGGAGCCTGAGTGCTCGCTCACAGAGGGCCGGGCGCACGCGGGCACGGAGGGCGGGGGACCTCAGTATGTCACCTCACGCAATGCCCCCGACAGCCCAGCGGGAGAGACGGTCACTCCCAGCCCACAGATGAGGAAAACAAGGTTTAGCAGCCGCCGACCCGTCCCAGGGCAATGACTATTTCTTATGTTTTATTTGTAATTCTACAAGTTTCGGAGTCGAAATTTAAAAGCAAAGCAGATTTCGAGCTTCGTATGGGAACTTTCTTATAAATATCGCCTTCCTCCTTTTAAGAAAGAGAGGAGAAAACCAGAGAGAGGGAGAGAGAGAGGGAGGAAAGAGGCTGAGGGAAAGAAAGCAGAGAGAGCGTGAGCAGGCCCCGCGAAACGTCCGGGCCTTCCCAGCGTGAGCGTCCAGCATCAGGGGACAGCTCTGCAGTGGTCAGGGGACCCAGCCAGGGAAGTGCTACGTTTAGACTTAGTGAGCTTGTCTTTCTTTCTCCGTGAAATAAAGCGGCTACGTTTAGCACTTAAACCCCTTTCTTCTGCTTATGTCTCAGGAGAAAATAAGCTCACAAAAGAGAAGCCCCTGCCCCCTGATGAAATCACCTCCAAGCAAAGGTGCCACAAACTTGGCTGAGCGCTGATGGACAGGGTTTGGGACAGGCGCCACCGAGCGGCTGAGCCTGGGGCCCGGGCGGGGGTGCTCCCCGTGGCATTGTGTTTCTTACAGAGATGGCCCCTGGAGACCGGCCCTTCAGTCCCCAGGCTCTCCCTGGAAGAGGCCGGATGGAGAGCAGCAGGGAGGAACCCCGACCTCGAACCTCCAAAGCTGTCGTGATTAAAAGCCCTGCATTCATGTGCGCCGTGCTCGCGAGGAGGGGGCCAGCAGTGAGGCCCTACATTCCTAAGGTTCGCCCCACAGAACCCTTGGAGGGGAGCCACGGCCCAGGCCCCTCAAGCTCCCCCACTGGTGGGCCGTCGCTGCGTGAAACGGAACCGTGTCATCAGATAAATGCAGGGCCAGGAAGCCGCCACCAAACCAACACCCTCGTGGTTACAGCACGGAATCCCGGGCCCCGAGAGACCTGAGGGTTCAGACAGCATGTCCCGTACCGAGCCTCCTAGCTCGGTCCCCGGCAGCGCAGCTAACGCACTTTCTGGACGTGTGTGTCCGTCTGCTTCAGTAACACCAGACTTTGTGAGGAGGAGGTAAACCGCAGTACAGGCAAGAGAGGCGAGTCCCAGCGCCCCGAACTCAGCCGCAGGCTCATCTCGTTTTTGGGTTGTGTTTCATTCTCTATGTCATCAACAGCACGGGCTCAAGGTGACACGTCCACCGCCCCGGGCCAGCTGGGTGGCTTCGAGCAAGTTCCCCAACCTTCCCAAGCCTCACCCTCCTCATCTGCAAGATGGGCGTGATCGCGACACACACCTGGGGAGACTGCTGGGAGGAGGAACCAACAGAGTCCCGCGGACAACTTGGGGCGCGGAGCGACCCGGAGCCCGGAGCCCGGAGCCCAGAGCCCGGAGCAGCTGCCTGTAGCATCATGGCCCTCACCTGCAGTGACATCGTCACCGCCCTCCCTCCCGGACATCGCCGGCCACTTACTTCCTGCAAGGCTCGGAAGGCGCTCACGGCATTGATCCACGCCAAAACAGGACCTTTGTTGTCGGTCGCTCCTCGTCCGTAAAGTTTTCCTTTAAAAATGAGGGGGGAGAATTTTCAGAAAAGCCTGGATACCTCCGCCAAGCTGAGCGAGGCAAAAACCACGGTAGCTTTGCGGGTGCCACTTTCACAGTGCCTTCTGCGTTTCCAGGCACACGGGATGCTCCGAAATCACAAAGCCTGACTTCTTACGGACAGACAGTACGGCCATCAGCTAGTCAGAAAATATCAGCTAATTGGAAATACACAGATTCCTTCGTCCCGGAGACTAATTAGCTATTTTATCCAGTTCGTTGAAAAAAATTCTGGGGATTTGCTGCAGAATGTCATGTGACGTAGCCTCTCGTGTTGAGATTTTACAATTAGCAGAAGAGTGCCAAACGGTGTATGTGTATCTCCATTAAACTTCCTTCTTCTCTTCCTTTGAAAGAACGTTACATTTGGTATCTTTAAAAAGAAAACGTGTGACCTAGATAGCTACTTTCCTTGCCACCCAGGGACTCCCACCCTAGGGAATAATTCACGCCAGGCACGAAAGTTTCTTTAACAAACGAAAGGAAAAGAAAGGAAATCAGCCTCATTGGACCAACTCGTAGACCAGGCGAGTAGCATCTGTTCATTCTCAGTGGCAAGTAGGACCTGGGGCAGAAGGCACATCTTATGCTCGCAAACCCTGTGAACAATCCCTTATCCACAGAAGAGCCCGCTCCTGTGTGGGCACGTGACTGACCGTCCACTTCCGTCAGCGTGTAAGGGTCAGTGAGCCACCCGTCTTCCTGTCTCGCGGGCTGCACATCCACGTGGCCGTAGAAGCACACGGTGGGTTTCTGTGGATCGCTCCCCAGTTCCGCCAGGAGGACAGGAGGCATCGGGAGAGTGTCACCGTCAGGCAGCTGTGAGAGGACAATGGAACACGTGTTTTTAAAAAATGCTATTTTGTTCTTCCAGAAACTTCAGAGACATGACGTTAGCAGTCCTGTGTCTAGCCCTGGATCCTTATAGAGCCCACGTAACGTTCTGATCATCTTTACCCGGCTCTAAAATGGGTACCATGAGACCCTTTTAATTAAAACACGAAAAGTAATTAAAATAGAGAGCCTGTTTAAAAGCACACTGACAAGAGGTAAAGTCAACTGAAGGCGCCCTGCGGTGTGGACCCGGACTCCACTCGCTTAGATCAGGGGGGCGCCGCTGGTAAACACAAACCATTCGGAGGCTTGTCTATGCCAGACCTGGCAGCATCGGGCGCTACGATTTACGGTCGCCGTTTGCGACAAAGCAGCAGCAATAGGCCACGATGCTGACGAGAGGCTGGACCCGTTCAGAAGGATGGATTTGAGCTTCAGGGAAAGGGCCGTCTCAGAGGAACATCAACCGTGCAGGCAGGGGCCCCCAAAACAAGGCGGCCTTCGCCCGTGACCCCCACTGCACCCCCTTCCACCCCAAGTCATGACATGACGACACATCAACGGCCTCGTTTGGGACCAGGAGGACTTGGTCATCGTCACTGGGCATCGAGATTACGGGCATTTTGATTGAGGACACGGGCAAGCCCTGTCCTGCGGCCATCTTGGGAGGTCATGGCCGACGCACAAGGAAGTGGCAGCTCATTGGGGGAGGGAGGGCACCGCCCACACCTTCTGGGAGCCCATGTCCACGGAGTCCACGCTGGCACCCAGGCACCGGAGCTGGTCCGCAGCCAGCGTCATCATTCTGAGCAGCTCCTGTCTGAGGCGGGGCACAGGCTGGATCGAGTCGCTCTCGATGGCCACCCACTCTCTAAGGGTCTGCGAGGAGAGATGAGCAGGTGGTTAGCACGACACAAGGATCGTGGGCACCGAATCCCCTGGCGACTCTGAACATCACGTGTTTGCCAGCTCAGCCTTTGACCCGAAGGCTAAGCTGGCAAACACGGGATGTTCAGAGTCACCAGCAGACAAGCTGCAGGCATAACCAGGAAGGCAGAGGCCAGGGCGGGCTGGGCGGAAGGCCGTCTTCCTAAAACCTGGACCTGTGACCCTGTGGGTCCACCAGGGTTGCAGAAAGGGCAGGTCCCAGTCCAACACTCTGGTTACTAGGACTGTCAGCGGCTGGCGGACACCGCCAACCAGGACCCATGGCTTCCCCCAGATGCCCTGGAGGCCTCCGGCCTGAGTAGGTCAGGCCAGACCGATTTAATCCCGGGTAGCCTGGGCTGGGCTGCGGGGCTCTGCCCAGCCACTCCCTGCATTTAGGTTTTGAGTCAGCCCCTCCCTGTTCCTCCAGGATCTGCTAGGTGGTACCACCTCAGGCTTAACCTCAGGGGGGCAGGCAGATGACCTGAGCTCCCAAACCTGGCCCTGCCCATTGCAGCTGGGTGACCGTGAGTGTATTCCTGACACGCTTAGCCTCAGCTCTCCCTCCTGCAGGAGGCGAGCGATGGCCTCGCACTGTGGGTGTGGGAGCGAGCAGCTGGGACTCGGTCGCAAGTACATGCTTCGGTCTCTGTCCCAGCTCTTGGCCAGAGCTCCAGAAACGTCCATGGCGTCCTAAGCGATGAAGGTGCCAGGACCATCCTGAGTCCCCTGCTCTCTGCCTCGGGCTCCTTCCTGACACGGAGTCCCTAATTCTCTTGGGGTTTCCTGGGTGCTAAGGCCGCGTTTTTTTCCAATGGGGAAACTGTGGTGGGCTCCTGGAGGGGGGACGGCCACCGGAGACCACGCTGTGGTTAGAAGCGTGGAACTTTCAGCCCTGTCCCCAGCCTCTGGGGAGGGCACTAGAGTTTGTGACCGGTCACGCCCACGTGACGAAGCAGCCATGACATCCCTGAGTCCAGGCTTCAGAGAGCTTCTGGGTGGTGAACGGGAGCGGGGAGCACCCCGGCCCCCCCAGGGCAGAAGTTCCTGTGTTCGAGACCCTCCCAGACCGCGCCCTCTGCACCTCTGCATCTGGCTGCTCATCCGCATCCCTTATCATACCCTTTATCACATAACATGCCGGCGAACGCATGTGTTTCCCTGAGCTCGGCAAGCAAATGACCCAACCCGAGCAGGGGGACGCGAGAGCGTCCGTTCATAGCCAGTCAGATGACATTGTCATGCCCCGTGTCCCATGCTGACCGGTGGGGGTGGGGGCGACGCTCCCTACAGCCAGAGAGTCAGAGCAGCCCGCTGCGGACGCCCAGCTGGCGTCTAGAGAACCGGAGAACTGCACTGTGCGGTGAACCCCAGGTCTGGGCCCCCAGCGCCATCTCCCGCCCCCGCCTTCCGAGCGGCGAGGCGGGGTGCACGTGGAGGAGACGGAGTGCACGTCACACATGGAGTACGAGACCCTGAACTTGGCAGCGCCCTCAAGCTGCTGCTGAGGCCCACGCTGCTACAGAGCAGGTCTCGCTGACAGGGTGTCTGGGGGTGTCAGCCAAGTTTGGGGGTGAACGAGACCTCAGCAAGGGCCGCTGCAGGGGGAGGACGGGTGATCCGAGGGTGGTTCAGAGCAAAGGGGAGCTCAGCGGATGCCCATCCCCACACCGAATGGGCTGGAAGCGGACAGAGCGCCCTTTCGGGAGGAAGGGCTGTGAGGGCTCTCCTGCCAAACTCCAACCGATGCTTACGATCGTAATTCGATGAGGAGTCGTGGCATTTTATGTGGGATTAAGTGGTCAAGGAAAAACCCCACCTGTCCCAGCAAAGAACCGTTCACGTAGACACCGAAAGCCGCCCCCTGCCAGCTTCCCGGTCCGGCTCTTCCTACCTGCACGAACTCATCCTGATGGCGGTCGATGTACCGGAATACCCTCCCCAGGAGCCCGGCGGGCGGCGAGGGCGAGGACGGAGCGGACATGCCTCCCCACAGCAGCAGCAGGAGCCAAAGGACAGGTGACGCCTGCGAGCAGGTGACAGGGAGGGGCGTGTCAAAACAAGTACCAGGTTTTGGACTTTTGACCTCTCAAATACTTGAAGAAAGTTTGTTATCTAACACAGCTGCTTCCAGACACTTGGACTAAACATCACAAAAGGTAATAGAACAGGGAATACATTTGGGGCTCTATCTTTCCCCGACGCTTCATTTTCAATGCTAAAGAATCATAATAAAACAGAAACCAAGTTAACAAGCTTGTCTTTAAACAACATGTGCCACTTTTTCCTACAAAACAGTCTTTCCTGTGGGTTCGCTTCCTGTGGAGGTTGAGTCAGCCTCTACGTCATAACGCAACACGCTGTGTTAGGACAACATCGCTGAGAGAGAGAAGTGTGAGAAAGTAAAACTTTCTATGTGCGATTCACCGCTTTTCTAGAAAAAATATTCGGAAAGGACCGTCTAAAATTCTCTGCAGTGTTGTGGGTCTCCTCCTGCCGGCTGCCGGAGCTAGAGAGCTTTAAAAAGGAACTTAGAAGCCACGCTGTGACAAAGGACATCGAAAGACTGGTGATCATTTGGACACTGTCGGCCACACTCTCCCCCGGGGAGTGCCTGGCCCACGGCTTCCTCAGCCTGCCCTCCCTCCATCTGGCTGCTCTGCTCCTATCCCTGAGGGGCTCTCTGTCCCTCACCTGTAATGTGGGACCTGCCCGTGACGCCGGCCTCCTCCCCGCACCCTCCCCGTCATCCTCCACCCCTGCGGTGGGTCCAGGCTGGGAGTGGAGCAGAAAACCATCCCCAGGCTCAGAATCAACCTCATCATCTTCTTTCAAACAGGCTCTTCCTTCTGGGTTTTCAGCGTTTTGAAAACAGGCCTTACTTTAAAGAACCATGTTTTTAGGCTGCTTCTTCCCTGTTCCAGGCACAACAGAGCCAAGGTGAGGACATGTGTCTAGAGCATAAAGAACTTCTACACGTCAATAATATAAGACAAATGAACCCAAGTTAAAAATGGGCGAAGGATGTGAACGGACATTTCTCCAGAGAAAACATACAAATGGACAATAAGCACATGAAGAGGGCTCGACCTCATTAGCCATCAGGGAAATGCAAATCAAAGCACACTAAGACCCCGCTTCATACTTCCTAGTTCGGGTAAAAGCAAACTGGCAGATAACAGCAAGTGACGGTGGGAATATGGGAACCCCCATTCAGTGCGGGGGTCCCCATTCAGTGCGGGTGGGAAAACACAATTCCAACCGCTTTGGAAAACAGCCTGGCAGTTCCGCCAGCGATGAAACACGTGACCTGACAATTCTGCTCTTAGGTATGTACTCGAGAGGAATGAAAGCCCACGAAAACTCATATGTGGGTGTTTACAGCAGCGTATTCGTCAGAGCCAAAAGGTAGAGACGACACATCCGTCAGTGGATGGCTGGATAAACAAAGCGTGCTGTGTACACACATGGAGTCTCACTCGGCCATAAAAAGAAAGAAATGAAGTGCTGAGACAGGCCACACACGAATGAGCCTTGAAAACACTATGCTAAGTGAAAGGAACCAGAGCCCAAAGACTACATATTGCATCAGGCCACATCCATGAAATGTCCAGAATAGGTAATCCTGGGAGATGAGAGTAGACTGGTGGTCGCCTAGAATGGGCAGAACTAGGGGAAAATGGGCAGTGACTGCTAGTGAGTAGGGGGGCTCTTTTTGATGATGAAAAGGTTCTAAAGTTGATTGTGGCAATGATGGTGCAACTCTGAATATAGTAAAAAACATTTAATTGCACACAATACATGGGTGAATTGTAAGGTATGTAAGTTATATTGCAATACAGTTGACATAAAAGTGATAAGGATCTCTGAACACTCGTTCAGTGATAAAAATATATTATTGGGTATGAAAAATGTCTGTAAAGGAAGCTAAGTAGTGGATAAAATCAAGGTAAAAAGAGCCAAGCTCAGTCATAAGCGAATCGAATTCCGTCCACTGGATGGCGCCAAAGAGCCGTCCCTGAGCCCCTTGGCCGCAGACTTCCCGTAGGAATCAGGCCGGGGACCTAAGCTGCGAGGCAGAGCCAAGGCCCCGGGGGCTGCAAATAATTCTGGAGGAAACGAGCCCTGGAGATCCACAGCGGCAGGAAGAGGAAGCTCTGGGTGCCCAGGAAAGGCTCTTCGGAGCAGCCAATCCATCTAAAGTAATATTCGAACTGCTATTTCTATTTCTCAATCATTCAATTTCCGCTAGAAAGTTGTTTGGTGTGCCTCTCCAGTGAAAGTAAAAAGGGAACTTTAAAGGAAAGGAAGTCACAAGAAAAGAAGGAAAACAGCGATTATAAGGACCAAGAATAGTTGGGATTTGGGGGGAGCCACCCCTTTCTGACAGGATGGCACACCCAGGACCCGCCCTCCTAAGGGATTGCTCCTGGCCTGCAGGACTCCACTTTCGCTCTCCTGGGGGTCCCCCCCACCCCCAAAGAGCAGACAGTCCACAAACCGGAGGGCTGCAGCACTAATCCTGCCTGCGAGCCCCGGGCGGGGTCCCCGCCGTGTCGCCCTCCTCTCCAGTTCCCCCACCCCGTCCCCGTGTCCCTCCTCTGTTTTCTTATGTTACAGTCACACGTGACCTAGAACTAAATGGCCCAACAAAAACCTGAAGATTTAGAAAGGTTTTTCCTGGCTTTTGCCTTTGCAGAAAGATGCTGGAGAACGGGAAGGCGAAGGTGGGGGTCAGGGGTCAGGGGGCAGAGCAGGGAGGCCCTGGTTTTGGTGTTTTCTACCTGCGGCAGGTAGCCCGGCCCAGCTGGATAAGCGCCCCTGCGGCCTCGGGGAGGAAACCCGCATGCTGCCCAGGCTCCTGTTCATTCCAGCTAGTGGCTCTTAGATTTGGAGCAACAATTCAAAGTGGCCCTGCGCTGAGTCTTATTCTGAAATCCCTTGACTTTTAAGACTAAAAGTCACGTCCACATCCTCTGCAGTGCACCCGACCCCCACCCATCCCTCGTCCTTCTCCCCATCGACGCGGCTGCGCTCCCGCGGAGCCCCCCACCCCCCGCGAGGACCC